TATCAGCACAGGAGTGTGATACTTCCACAAGCGCTTTGAGCATGCAAGCTGGATGGACTATGGCGCTATACAAATACCCATATACATATACCTACTTCCACCTGAGAGGGATCAGTGGCAGAAATGCTGTAACTTCTAGGTCACAAATGCCACTTACCATACGCAATCTCTACTTTCACAGTGACCATGTGTTGACCTGTTGTAGAACATTGACACGTCTACAGTAACTCTAATGCTCACCTAACCTCGATACCCAAGTTGATGAAAGTTTCATGTTAACAGTGTTGCAATTGCTTATGTTGTTAGACATGTGTTATTAAAGAGTTCCCTAAAGGTAAAACGTTTTTTGGACAATGAAACACAGTGTGGATTCCGAACGTTTGATTGCACAGTTTCTATGGTGGAATGTCTGCACAAAGTGATGTGACCGTTCAAACGCAGATAAGAAATCGCCGTTTCAGCTGCCGTTTTGCTTTATTTGTATAAACATGTAATTTTCTGAATAAAATTGATATTTTAGACTTATCCTGACTCATGCTCTTCTGCTTGTCTTCTTCTTCTTGGGAACATAGTGGAACACTTGCATCTCCCTAATTGAAGCTCCCTTCAATGAAAAAAATAAATTAGTACTCACCAAGAGTTGCTCCCCTTTCCGAAAGCGTGGGCGCCACCTCTTCCCACACGCTTCACTCTCTCCTGTTTAACGAGCCCGACACTTGAATTTACAGGGAAATCCAAAGTGTCATGTGAGGAGGATGGGAGGGCTTACCTCATGAGTCAGGATAAGTATAAAATATCAATTTTATTCAGAAAATTATATATTTTTCCTTATCCTGACTCATGCTCTTTTGCTTGTAGAATCCATTTAAATGGAGGTGGGAACAGACTGACTGACTGAGTTTAGTTTTACGCCCCTTTTAGCAATATTCCAGCAATATCACGGCGGGGGACACCAGAAATGGGCTTAACACATTGTGCCCATGTGGGGAATCAAACCGGGGTCTTCGGCGTGACGACTCGTGAGACTATGTCTCATCGTCTGCGAGGTACTGTCAACTGCTGTGCAAGGACCATGGGACCGAAACGGTGAATACCTTTTCCAAAAGCAGCCCTTCATAATGGTATTCAACGAGCAATTTCCATGTAGAGCGACTGTCGAAGCCAGTGCTCTGATTTCATGGGGATTAGATGCTCTTGGAGGGTTGAGTCCTGCAGCCTTGTAGGCACGAAGTATGACAGTTCTGATCCATATCAATATCGTGGTATGAGAGACTTCGGTCTGAGTCGCTGTCGATAGAGGGATGAATAACCACTTGAGTTTTCGTCGCCTCGATTTGGATCATTGTAGATAGATTTTGAGTGCTCTCACTGGGCATAATGACAGGTCAAGGGTATCATGAGTTCCGAGAATCGAGGAGAGTGCAGGGACATGGAATAATCTGTCTGGTTGACCTGGCAATTGATTTTTGGCGATAAAGTCCCATCGCAGTCCCATATGCACTGAGTTTTGATTGTCATCGAAACGTGTTCTCTCATAATCTAGAGCGTGGATTTCTGACATCCTGGCTGCCGTTGCTAGGGATAACAGGAACAATGTTTTCTGTGTCAGAAATTCGAACGATGTTGTTTCCAGTGGTTCATACGCCTGACTTGTGAGGTGTTGAAGCACTATATTTAGATCCCATGCTGGAGCACGAAATCTCTGTTTCTGATCCTCCAATCGGAATGAACGTAGCAAGGCCAGTAACTCTGGCATCTTGTTTAACTTGACACCCGTCCTTATAGTTAACACTGAACTTAATGCTGTGAGATATGTTGACAGCGTCGAGCCTTTTAGACGCTTGGTTTGTCGTAGGTGACAAAGGTAGTCTGCCACTTGAGGATGTGTAGCATTTCTAGCTGTAAATCCCTTTTTAGCAGCGTATGTCTCAAAACTGTGCCACTTGTCGTCATACAAGTTGCGCGTAGAATTGTGTAAAGCAAGCGTGACTGCTTTCGCCGCTCTGGCTGAGTAACCCCTCTTGTTTAAACACACTTTAATACAGTCCATACGTGAAGTTGGATTGCTCCTGGGTTTCCGTGCGCTTGTTTTGTGTGAGGATGTACTAGTAGATTTGAGCGCTTTGGTAGTTGTAGTATTGGTTGTCCGATTTCTTGAATTAGAATGTGAAACCACGTTTTTGCTGGCCAGTAAGGTGCGACCAAAATAAGTTGGAGGCTCTGAGTTTGTCTGATTTTCTGTAACACCCTTGGAATTAGCACTGGCAGCGGAAAAGCGTACGCATTGAGGCCTTCCCAGGATATGCTTAGTGCGTCTGTTGCCCATGCCTGTGGATCTGGGACTGGTGAGACGAATGTTGTTAGCTGATTGTTGAAGCGAGTGGCAAATAGGTCTACTAACGGAGCTCCTATTTCCTTGATAATCTGAGCAAAGATTTCTGTATGGAGCATCCATTCCATCGGTGACGGTAGATGTGGCCGAGACAGTGCGTCTGCTAGTACATTCTTGGCTCCGGGAATTTGACATGCTCTTACATGTATGTTGAGATCGTCGATCAGATCGAACAGTTGAAAGCATAGAGTCAATAGGTTCAATGATCTGGTTGAGCCTTGTTTGTTTATATAAAACGCCACTGTTGAATTGTCGGTGTGGATCATTAGATGCACATTCTGTAGAATGGTGCTCCAATGGAGTAGGGCGTTGATTACTGCTTTCATTTCTAGCATGTTTATGTGCAACTTGATCTCTTGCTGGCTCCATAACCCTGATGCCGTCCGGTTGGCTGGATGAGCTCCCCAACCTTGGAGCGACGCGTCTACATAGAGATGGGTTTTGAATTCCGGCTCTGTTAAATAGATGCCTTCGCAAACATTCGACCTCCTGGTCCACCATAGTAGATGAGGTCTGATGTGCTTCGGTAGACTGAATGGTTGTAGGTCCTCGAGATGAGCGTTGACGAGGACCTGTTATGGACGTAACTGTAGTCTGCCTATGACTGTCATGTCTTGGGCTGACGTGAGGAGACCCAACAGACTCTGCCATTGTCGTAGTGGTAGCGGAGAGAGTAAGGCTTGTGGGATCTTCTGTTGGATCTTGAGCCATCGGTCCTCTGGTGCGACGATACGGTTCTGTGTCTTGAGAAATCGAATGCCTAGAAATTGCAGATCTTGCGTAGGTTCTAGGGCCGACTTGAGTAGATTTACTAACCATCCTAGCTGTGTTAGTAGCTTGATGATGAAGTTTAACTGTAGTTTGAGACGCTCTGGATCTTGATCTACTTGAATCCCGTCATCGAGGTAGAATGCACTGCGTAGCCCTAGACGATGTAGGTAGGTGACGATAGGTTTCGTTACTCTTGTGACCAACCAGGGGCCCCGATGATATTCCAAATGGCAGTACTCTCCATTGGTAATGTTGCCCGTCTAGTGTAAACCGTAGGTATTTCCTGGAATCGGGATGTATCGGGATATGCAGATAGGCATCCTGTAGATCTATACTGGCCATGTAGTCCATGGGACGAACGAGGTGCAGTAGTTGAGGTAGATAAATCATGAGAAACATTGTCGGTTTGCGTAGATAATCTCTGTTGAACGTGCTCATGTTGTAGATGAGTCGGAACTTTTCCTTGGAATTTTTCTTAGGCACTAGGAAAACTAGGGAGTAGAAGCCTGGTTCGATGTTTACTTGATCCACTACTTCTGAGATGACACAGCTTCTCGTAACTTTGGTAGTTGTTGTGCCTGGAAGTCGAACTTGTAAGGGTTGACTGTAAGCGGAGGCGTGGCCTGTAGTTGGATTCGACATCCGTGATGTAGGATGTTGGAGACATATGGATCCCGTAGAATTCTCCAGTTTTCCCAGTGCAGTTGAATGCGTCCACCCATTTGTGATGGTTGTACAGGAACGGCTGGGGGTGGAAGACTCCAGTTGTTCCGAAACTGTCTTTCATCGTTCATAGTTGCGGGAGCCTCTGGGTGCCCTGCCTCTTCCAGATCCTCCCCTGTAGTTGCCGAATGGGCGGCGAAAAGAATCCTTTCCCCCTCTTGATCCGGCCATCTTCCTGTCCCGTGCTTTCTGTAAACCAGTAAACTTCGATCTTCCTGAATATCTCTGTGATGTCTGCCTGATGATGCTGGCCAAGATGTCCATCGATTTAATCATAAGGACTTCTCTTGAATCCTTGGTGACTTCTTTAGAGACTTTGTCTATTCCTCCAGCGAAGATTGAAGGTGTAGACCACGGGGCTGTGTAGAGTGAAGACGTGAACTGTTCACCCCAACTGCAAGAAGCGAGGAGACCTTGAGGACAAGCCAGAGTTAGAGCTGCGGTGATGTAAGGTGATCCGTTAGAAACTGCTGGTCCTTCTTCTGCATAAGGAGGGCCGAGTATAACATTCTGTCGTCTTCTGATGTAGAATCTCGAAATCTGGTGATGAGAGTTTCATTAATAGATCTTGATCTGTTAAGGCCGAAAAACATTCTTCTGGTCATGGTTTCGATTTGAGCCAGCTTGCGGTCGTCTATCTTGTACATCTTAGTCTTGGAATCATTGATGACTTTGAAGTTATCGTTGATTTCTTGTGCTTTGAAGAATGGGTCCATATTATGGGCTGAGAACTTCTTGGCATTGAACTGTGGTAAGTGCAGCACCTTGGCTTTAGTGGCTTTATGGAAGGCTGTGTCCAGATTCTGTGGAACCGCTGCTATAGGATCAATCGGAGGTAGGGTGATCGTGTCTGCGTCGTCCTCCCTCATGAGATAGGTGTGGGCCGGGTTGCCGTCCTTGGAAGGTGAAGATAGGTCCAGGTTGTTAACCATCCAGTAGCGTATTTCTGCGTCGGAGAATATGATGCCTCCATCATCTTCTGTAACTGGAATCGCTGATAAGAGGTCGATGCTCTTCCGATTGTGACTGAGGTGGAGTCCTGTATACTTGTACAGCTCTGCATGGCGACGTCAACGGAGACCTGTCTGGAGACTTCCGTGAAGACTTGTGAAGTGAACGATGTGGTGACCTGTGTGGTGTCCTGCATGGTGATCTACGTAGAGACCTGCGAGAAGATCGACGAGGTGAACTACGAGGAGATCGACGTGGAGAACAGCGAGGAGATCGACGTGGAGATAGGCCTGACGAGCTGCGTCTGTAAGGTGACTTTTGCGGAGATCTATGTGGTGACCTGTGTGGTGTCCTGCGTGGTGATCTACGTAGAGACCTGCGAGGAGATCGACGAGGTGAACTACGAGGAGATCGACGTGGAGAACAGCGAGGAGATCGACGTGGAGATAGGCCTGATGAGCTGCGTCTGTAAGGTGACCTTTGCTGAGATCTATGTGGTGAACGGTGATAGCTTCGCGAAGCTCTTAGGGAATCCCTAGATGACCTTCTAGACGAAGATGACTTGGAGTCTGTAACTGGTGCCCTTCGCAAAGACCTTCGCGAAGCTTCATCTGGGGAGTGACGACTTGACCTTCGCGAAGGCTGGGGATCCGAGTCAGAGTCTGGGGATGAGAGGATCTTCCTTCGCGAAACCTCTTTGTGAGCGTTGATCATCGGAGTCAGAGGCAGGTGACAATCTAGGTGTCCTTCGCGAAGGCCTTCACGAATGCTGAACATCTGGGTCCTTCGCAGAGGTGGGCTGTGACGTCGTTCGCGCAGGTTGGTCCCTCAGCGATGACTTGGTAGCAGCCGCTACGTTGACGGGGGGTCCGTCAGGCTCTGGGCTGGTTGTCTCTTTCCAGTCCGTAGCGGTCTTCCATCATTTTCATGATCTGTAGAACCACGTCATCTGGGATGGTCTGCGAAAAGATGTAGTTGCTACCCTATCTGCGTTGGTAGCGACGGGACCCTCAGGAAGATCGTCAGACATCAGCGTTGGTACATCAGGCTGCGTGTAGATCTGCGCTGACGTCACTGTAGCCGACACCGGTCGTTTCTTGTGATGAACATCGGCTGCTGATCATACAGGCCCAGTTCTGTGGCGGGAACAATTTCGGCTGAGAAAGTCCGTGTAGACTTCGTTGATTTCTCCTTGGAAGTAGACGCTGCCCTGGGGGTGCAAAGTCTGCGTTGTGAAGTAGACGCCCTCTTAGTCTTCGGCTGCGATGACGGGATGTCTAGGGATGCAGGACGCTTCTTGGAGACGGCGGACTGCGTCCCACGCCTCTCCTCCAAAGGTAACTCTAGCGGAACACCAGACGGGAGGGGGTCGTCCGAAAGCAGTTGACTTGAGAGGGGTTCAGAAGTATCAGCCATGGCTAGACTCTGTTTACGTGACCTATCTGCTGCACGTCTCAAAACACAAAGTAAATATTTGTTAAAAGCAGAATTAGACAAATTATTACAGTAACTGCAATGTGAAGTAAATGAACATGGAACAGTACAGCTAGGGCATAATAAATGCGGATCAGCAGCAGAAAAAGGTAACCTGCAAACAGTACAGATTTTCATCAACGTAAACTACTGAACAATCAGGGCGTCCCGTGAATAAACAGCAGAAAATACAAATAAATATCAAACCATAATGTTGAAGGATACTAGCTAAACCTCTATAGATGACTAGAAGAGGTACCTAAAGAAGAATAATCAAAGGATATTGTGCCGTAGGGAGACACAGGCGCTCTCGCATCCATCTCACTGGGCGAAGGAAAGAGTGAAGCATGTGGGAAGAGGTGGCACCGTCTTTCCCGCCCTTTCGGAAAGGGGAGAAACTCTTTTTGAGTACTAATTAGTGATTTTACATTGAAGGGAGCTTCAATTAGGGAGATACAAGTGTTCCACTATGTTCGCAAGAAGAAGAAGACAAGCAAAAGAGCATGAGTCAGGATAAGGAAAAATACCTTATTTCAGTCTAGAACCGTTGCACGGTACTAGACCAATCTGTGCTGAATGCAACAGTATGAACCAAAACATTGTACGTTCATAATAAAAAGTTATACCAACACAATCGGCCGCCATTTTGATTGTCTCAATCTTTCAGTCCAGGTTTAAAGCATTTAGTGAGGGTGCTCGTCGAGTTAAATTCGTTACCATGTTTTTGCAGGTTTGATATGGATATTTATCATGTGTCCGAATTAAATATCAAACTCGAACTCGTGCACACTTCGTTCTCGTTTGGTATTTAACTCGTACACATGATGAATATCAAACTCGCGAACACATGGTAACTTATCATAACTTACTCTTTTAGTGCCCTTACCTATGTATTTGTTTATTATTTTGGTGCTTGTTCAAATGTGTTGTGTTGTGATTTCATGATTTGTTGTGTTCTACGTGTTTTTTGCAATGTTACCAAAATTTCCCTCGGGATAAAAACGTATTGTCTGATCCTATTTCAGCTCGCCTCTTTAACTGACGGCAACGAGGACCCGGTGCAGCTGTATTACCAAAACCTGAAAGGTATATTCAGGTATGCATTTACAGAATACTATACTACTACTACTGCTACTACTACTACTACTGCTACTACTACGACTACGACTGCAACTACAACTACTACTACTACTACTATGGTGATGATGATGATGATGATGATGATGATGATGATGATGATGATGATGATGATGACATTCATATTTACATTCTGATTCAAAATCACACATTGACCGTTTCAACTGGGAAGTGCCATGCACCCTAAGCAGCAAATGTAAAACACATTGTGTTTCACTTTTCAGGCACTCCGACATTAAATAAACTGTTAAAAAACAACAACAAAAACTGCACATAGAAAAATAAGGAAATGCATTAAAAGTATGTAAGTGTACATGAGTACACTTGAACATGTGTATTGTTGTCATTGTCAGCATTAATACAGTTCACTCACTCCACATAATTGCCATCATCATCAACTAAGAACTTCTATAGCGCAAGAATCAAGTCAGTATGACAGCTCTAAAGCAATTTGACAGGATGCATGTCACATGTATCAAGAATGTCCACTTGGTCTAGGGTTATGTTTTTGAGAAAAGGTGGGTTTTCAGATTGGTTTTAAAAGTGGCCATGTTATTGACAAGTCTTAGTTTTAATGGCAGATCATTCCAGGGTCGTGGAGGATCGATCTCCATAGGTGGTGGTCCTTGCGTGTGAAACACACAGCATGCCTTGTCCCATGGATCTAATAGACCTCGCTGGCTTGTACTCCTGGAGGTGTTCCTGGAGATACATGTACACAGAGGCTAGGCCTGTCCTTGCTTTGAAGGTTACACTTTATAAGTGATTCTGTCAGACACCTTCAACCAATGACATTTCTCTAGTACTGGAGAAATGTGGCTGTCTTTCTTTGCCTTTGCTACAAGTCCAGCTTCGCAATTCTGACGCTTTGCTATCAATTGCTTTGGTAATCCAATAAGAAGAGCTTTACAGTAATCTAAATGGGGCACATCACAGCACTGGACAAGAAATGTTACAGTCTTTAGATTTAGAAATCGAGGTATTAGGGCAATGTGGGACTCATAGCTGAATCAAATACAAATCTTAGATTACGTCTTTCTTTGCTTGTTCAGTGATGCAAACTCTAATTTCAAAAGTGGGCAGAGCAAGTTTGACTCTCGTTGACTTTGAAGAGAGAAACAGCAGTTCCGTCTTCTCACTGTTGAGCTTGAGAAAGTTTATTGTCATCAAGTCATTGATGTCCTTGATACAATTCATCAAACAACGATAGTATCCTCTACTGATGTTCTGTTGGAGGGGTTGAAGGCCAGATACAGCTGTGTATCATCAGCGTAGGGGTGGAACGAGAGATTATTGTGAGAGCAATGATTTTATCGAGAAGGATGTACAATGTGAATGAGCCCCAAACAAAATGTATGTAAAAGTAAGTGACCCCCCTGCATGTCCTGTACAAAGTAAGCGACCCCCCCCACACACACACTTTTCATACTTTTAAAGTGTAATTTTCAAATATTTGAATGTAAAAAATTGCTCACCTCCCTAGAAACATATGTACAAAATTGATGACCCCCTCTACCGCCCCAGAACAAAATGGGTGACCCCCTTAAAATCATCATCACCCACCCCCCAGCCATAAATTATGAACTGTCCCTTATTCTTGGAAGCCTTTCTGGTTCAAGTCAGAGGAAAATCAATTTTTTTTTCACCTTTTCTTTAAAAGAAAACAATAGAAACGACAGTGAATTGGAAATTAAAATCAAAGATTGTTAAGATACTATTGGAAAAGATTTTTAAAATATTAATGAAGCCCTACTATCTGAACTTACAAAATTTAAATTGGAATTGCAACAAATTAAAGAAGAAGAGATAAGAGGCATTCAACTCAGAAACAGAATCATGGTTTGAAGAAGGAGAAAAAGCAACCCAAAACATTTGCCATTTTGAAAATAAAAAAATGTCAGAAAACCAACAAATAGAATCATTACAGATAAAAATGAGAAAATTACTGACAGTAAATCAATCTTAAATGAACTGAAACAATTTTATAAAACACTTTATTCTTCAGATAAAAATGATGAAAATGATGACCACTTGGACAATGTGATAACTCCAATTTTGAGTGACCAACTTAGATAATAATTCGAAAAAGAAACAGACATGAATGAAATATCACTGGCAGTACAAATCATGAAGAATAGCAAAATCCCTGGAATTAATGGATTTCCTAGATATTTCTTCAAGTATTTTTGGAGAGAACTTAAGATTTGGATTTTTAAATTTATCAAAGATCTTTTAGAAGAGATAAGATGTCTCTTACCACGAAAAGAAGTGTTATAATATAAACAGGACCCTGTTAAAGACATGGTGACAAATTACTTTATTCAATGCTTTGTATAAAATATTTAGGGCATGTATCTCTAACCGGTTAAAGGTCACATAAACCCTAGGGGGTACAAATACATAAATCACTAAGTGGCATCGTTATAAATGAAACCCCGTCATTAAAACTACTCATTTCGACCTTTAATTGACTTAAATCGACCTTTTTGACAACAGTGCACAATTCTCACCCGCGAACAAAATTTCAACCAATCAGAGCGGCGCGCCTCTGTGACGTCATATGAGGAATAGCTTTGAGGGCCGATGCAGAATTCATCTACATTTTAGGGGTTAAATTATCTTGTTTACAGGCTTGTATAAACCTGAAATCGTGACAATTGTTGTGGAAAATGAAAGCTATATGTTCTCACAATCTACTGTCATTTAATTTTGTCTCCTGCTTTGCCTAGTTTCCGAGTTACAACTTGTTTTCATAGACGATTCTGTCAAAATCGATTGGTGTCGTTAGGCCCTATTTGTATAATGACTGATCCAAATTGATCCCATTTCTGTGTTTTTTTACCTCGATATTTAATCATGTCATGTAAAAATCTGTTTGTATTCTCAAAACAGTGTCGGCCCATAAGTTTTCACATGCAATACAGC